GGATGAACAGTGCCTCTGAGTAGGCGCCAGACAGGCAGGGCTTGGGAATATGTCAGCCCACTCAGGGCAAATGGCTTAAAAATGAGAGGCCTTTCTTGGGCCTACAGTTATGCCTGTCCTCAAGCAAGGGGAGACCTTCTCAGGGAATTCTCCCTTTAAGATTGTCTCTGCTCACCCACCCCACTCCACCCAGATTTTGGTCCCAAGCATTGGGTGTCTTTTCTGGCCCTTCCCTGTCATGTGCATGCGCTGTAAAGAGGCTCGACTGGGCTTACACGTGCATCTGGTATGGTGTCTCATTTGGGGCCTCCTTCCTGGGCTTCCTGAACTGCAGGGCTGTGTGACCTCTTCCCTCTGGCCTGTGGGATGGCAGGGCTTTGGAGGTACTACAAGGGTCCCAAGGTGTAGCCCAGGGGTCCTCAAACTTTTTAAACAGGGGGCCAGTTCACTGTCCATCAGACCATTGGAGGGCCGGACTGCGGGCCCCGGGACAAGTCGGCTGCTAAGCAGGACAGGCAGCGGTAGCAAAAACACCTGGCGGGCCACATGTGGCCCTGCCAGCTGTAGTTTGAGGATGCCTGGTAGCCTGTCTCCTCCAAGCCCAAGGAGCCTTTGCCTCACAAATGGGGCACAGCACCCCCTTCTGGCAGCTCCTGCAAAACCAAGTCCACTCCCACCTCTGCCTGAGGGCTCCAGTAGCATCCAAATGAATCAAGCCTCCTCTCTTCTAGATAAACCCTATTCTAGGGTAGGAGCCAATCTGCCCAAGCCCTGGCAAAATTTGGGAAATCTGCATCCTGATTCAGGCATCCTCCTTCCTGGGCCACATCCTGGCTCCTTCATGCCTAGCCTTATCCTCATCCTCTCTGAAGGCTTGTGTGGGCCAGATACCCAGTTGAAGAACAAGGGCCAGGTTGGGAGCCCTAGTGCCCCAAGGCTATCAGCCCAGGCCCTGCATCGGTGGGGGAACTGTCCAGACAGGGTCTTCAGGGTTTTCTCATCCCCTCCTCCCACCTAGCTCTTTACTGCATGACTGGCTGCTGCCTCAAGTGGCCCCGGGCAGTGGGGGCCTGCTCCACAGGGAGCCTGGAGTGAGCAGCAGGGAGGGCGCCTTCCTCGCACAGCCGGGCTCCCTGCTCGCAGTGCGCTTATTTGCTCTCTTGTGTCTGTTGTGTCTTCATGTTCCTTTCCATGTGGTACTGGCTTCTCTTCCACTCCTCTCACATCCCTCCTCCTCTGCAGTCCCCAATTTCCTGGCTCCAGGCACCCATCTTCCAGCCAGGAGCTGGAGAAGCCGCTCAGCAGGGCCAGACCTCTTCCCCACCCACTCTCCCAAGGTGTCTGCCCTGCCCCACCCTCCATCCTCCCTTCTGTACCAGCAGATGGCTTGGCAAGCCAGCAGGTAGGGGCATTACAGAAGGTCGAAGGAGGCGGCCTTTGCCACTCATCACCTTTGCCCCAGGTGCCCGCCACACAGATCCAGGCCTTGGTACTTTGAGCCTCCTGGGAGAGGCCTGTACATACCCCCAGGCCCCATCTCTCACAGAGATCCAAGTATTGCAGCCCCTTCCCTACAACAGGACTACAGTCCTGAGACCCTGGTGTGTTGATACAGAAGAACTACTCACAGCTCCCTGACCCCTAGAACAGAGTGAGAGCCCTGGCTGTGGGCCAGTGGGGGAAGCTGCCTTACATGGGGTTAGGTGCACAGTACCAGGGTACACAGCCATCATCCCCTGCCCATTGGAGCAAAAGCTCCATCTCCCCAGCTTAGATTTGGGAGCGTGGGGAGGGTCAGGCCTCATATGCTGCTGCCAGTGTGAGGTGCTGCAGAGCCATGTTGGCCTGCCAGGTGATGGGCGCATGACCTTGGGCTTGGGTCCTGCCCACCTACTGGTGACACCTTCCCAGACCCACTCTCACCTGGGTCTGTGGCGACGGAAGGAGCGAGAGATCCCAGCACTAAACTCTCACTCGCTCTGTTTTTTGAGGAACCCGAATGAACCTGAAAGCAAAGACCGAGTGGAGACGCTCAGGTGAGAGGGCTGGAGCCAGCACTGGCCCTGCCCGGGCTACCGGGCTTGCCACAAGCCTCCTGCTCCTCTCTTCCTTCTGCCACTTGGCTCCTCCTCTGGTGGTTTTGCCCTATTCCCACCCTCTGGGGCCTTCTCTTCCCAAATCCAACTGCAGTACTCTGGGCCCTTCACAGATCTGGTATATTCTGGAAGTCAGAGCCCTGGGTTGGGTGGGTGGGGCTACAGACTCCTACCCTGGACTACCTGATCTTTCAGCTGCTGCTTTCTGAAGTCAGTCTGTGCCAGATGCTATCGAGCACATTCATTCTTCCTGACCCTCCCCTCTTCAAAGAGAACAGCCGATATCAGAATGGAGCTGTCACCCCCACTCCAGGGCAGATTGCTCAGTCCTCCATCCTGACAGATGGCAGCTTGGAAGACTGCGGCCCCCTCTCCTCCCTCTGCCCTTTAGACAGGGTCTCAATAGCCTTAATGCTCTTGTGCTCCTCCCACTCTCCTCTCTGGTCTCAGGGGCTGTCTGTAGGGGTGGCTCTCCCGGGTGGGGCACCTCAGCCCCTCACCTGATGCAGTCTCTGCCCTCTCCACAGACCTCATGTGGTGGGCGGCGGAGGCAACGACAAAGAAAAGGAAGAGTTTCGGGAGGCCAAGCCACGCTCACTGCGCTTCACATGGAGTATGAAGACCACGAGCTCCATGGAGCCCAATGAGATGATGCGGGAGATCCGCAAGGTGCTGGACGCAAACAGCTGCCAGAGCGAGCTGCACGAGAAGTACATGCTGCTGTGCGTGCATGGCACGCCAGGCCACGAGGACTTTGTGCAGTGGGAGATGGAGGTGTGCAAACTGCCGCGGCTGTCTCTCAATGGGGTTCGGTTTAAGCGGATATCGGGCACCTCCATGGCCTTCAAAAACATTGCCTCCAAAATAGCCAATGAGCTGAAGCTTTAACAGGCTGCTGGGAGTGGGGAGCGGCAGAGGCGGGCCAGCTGGACTTGGCTGCTGGGGCCGGCCACTCCACCCCACTGGGTGAGACTGCAGGATGGATTGGTGTGTCTCCCCTGCTGGCACTTCTCCCCTCCCTGCCCCCTCTCAGTTTTTTCTTCCATGTTTGTGGGGGAAGGGAGATTGTCCTCCCCACCCCACATCACCCTGCCCTAAAATTCCTCCTTCCCCTCTCTCCCCCCAGGAGGCAAAGGAAGGGGAGGGTGGATGGGGGGGCAGGGCTCCCCCTTGGTACTGCGGTTGCACAGAGTATTTCGCCTAAACCAAGAAATTTTTTATTACCAAAAAGAAAAAAGAAAAAAAAAATCCCAGCGGCCACCTTTCCTCCCTGCCCCATTGGGACAGTTGAGACTGGATCTGTGGGGTTTCCCGGGAGGGTGGCTCAGGGCTGGAACACTCTCAGGCAAGAGTGGTGGAGTTCCCTGTCAGGCCCTCCGCCAGGCCCATTTTGGGCTTCTCCCCTCTCTTCCCCTCCTTCCCCTCCAAGTGAACCACCAGAGGTGGCCTTCCCCTGACCTCAGGCCCCTGGCTGGAGGCCTGGGCACGGGGCGCGGCACGGGGCGGGTGGGGTGCTGCGTAGCCCTGAGTGGGTGGGGCTGGCGGCAGCTCTGGGGCTGGTGAGGCAGGACAGCTGGCTGAGGCTCTGGCCTCCCTCCATGCTGTACCCTCTGCCCCTCCTTCCCTAGAGCTGGGCATTTCCTTCCACAAGCTGCTGTGGGGACATTTGTTCCCCTCCTCAAAAGTCTGTGCCATCTTCTCCCACCACCCCTCCCGGGTAGGAGGGGATGACCCCAGGGCTGGGAGAGTGGAGGGGACTGCAGGGCAGATTGGCTCCTTGACCCCCAAGGGGCCACTTGGGCTGCTGGTCTCCAGAGCAGGGGCGCTGGGCTTTCTCCGTTATGGGAGAGCCTTTGTCTGAAAGCACAGCCCCCCCTTGCTGCTCCTCTCCCCTGCGGCTTCCCCTTCATTGGCATTAATCTGGGCACCAGCTCGCTCCATTGCAGTGACTTCCCTCACCACTCATCTCTCAGCCTTGCCTTTTCTTCCTGACACTGTCGCCCCTCCTCTCAGGAGATGCTGCCCAGGGCCTGGGGAGGGGGGCCTGGCTGGGATTGGGCAGCAGGGCCAGGAGCATCTGCCTCCATGGGGTGGGGTCAGACAGGCCAAGTGACTCCCAGCTTGCTAACCTCGTGGCCAGTGTGGGAGTGGGTAGTTGTGGGCGCTTGGCTGGTGGTGGCCACTGCATCCCTTAATTTATTTCTCTGCTGTTTTCTGTTCTTGAGAAATTGGGCGGGGGGGAGTCCTACACAGAGGCTGCCCCTTACCCTTACCTGAGTTGTACATTTTTTTGTGATGGGTTTTATTTTTTATTTTATTATTTTATTATTTTATTTTTTTTTTGATTTATGACAGCTCCACCCTTATTCACCACCCCCACTCCCAGGCCAGGGTCAGTGACAAGGCGAGCCCTTGGGTCCCAGGAAGGGGCCTCGCCAACCTCAGCTCTCCTGCCCCACACTCCTATGCGGCTCAGACCAAGGGCTCCCCTCCTCCCTTCCCCCCTCCTGCCCTAGGGAACAGCCCGGGTGCTCAGAGGGGGCCGGGAGGGCATGGCTTGGCTCCCAAAGGGGGTGGGGGCTGGGGGGCACCCAGGCAAGGTGGCCCCTCCCCACCTAGCCCCCTCCTTTCCCACCCTGCACTTAGTTTCTCCTCTGGATCAAACACGTAATAAAGAGAATGTTTGGAATCTGAGCTGCCTGTTCCTGTTTCTTCTCCCAGCCCGGCAGGGACCCAGTCCCCTGTGGCAAGATATAGCCTAAGCCCACCTGCCTTGCAGGAGAGTTGATTACTGTCTGGGACCTGGGGGAGAGGCCTGTGCTATGTGGGCCCAGCTCCCTACTGTCCCCCAAGTGCAGACAGGAATCAAAGCCCAGGGCCCTTACACCAAAAGGGAATGTGGACTCAGTACGCTTGGAAGGTTTCATTTTTTTATTTTTTAAAAATGTTGAAAAATAAATCCATGTCTGCTGCATAACTACCCAACCCCCTCTCTCCAAGCTTTTGGGAGATGGGTATGGTGGAGCTCCTCAGCATTTCCCACTGGCCCTGAAAACAGAGCTTGCCTTCTAGCCTCTGGACTGTCAGGCCCACCTACCCTCTTCTGCCCCCCTCCCTACTTCACCCCAAACTTATTGCTAAAAGAGAAAGAGGAAGGAGAACAGCTAACAGACCAAACTGTCCTCTCCCCCACACTAAGGTCACTACCCCCTACACACAAAGGGCAGGGCCCAAGGGCCAAGCCCCAGCAGACTAGGAGGCAGCCATTCCAGTCCCAGACAGGAAGCAAAAAGTACTCTCAGGCCAGCTCAAAAGGCCCCTGAGCCTCTGGCTGGAAGGAGACAGACTCAGCTGCCAGGAACACATGCAGAACCCACAGGTCCAGGCTGTGCCAGTCAGCAGCTCTGTCTTTGAAAGACCTGGCAAGAGCCCTTAGTCCCTTCTGTCCTCAGAGATGCCAGCAAAGGGGCTGGAGCCTCTGATTGGGGCCAGGGGGGGCGGGGGCGGCTCAAAGTGAGGGTGCTGGAGGCTCCAGAGGGGCTCCAATCAGGGTGGGTGGGGGCTGAGGGCCAGGACGGGCACTGTGGCGGGAGGCAGCCAGAGCAGGACGGATGAGTGGTGGGGGGGGCTGGTTAGGGGCCAGCCGAGGCTGGAGGAAGCGGCCTTGCTGTAGTGGGGGTGGCTGGCGAAGCAGAGTGGGAGCCGTGGGTAGAGGTGGCCTCAGCAGTGGGGGTGGCTGAGACAGTGAGGTGGGAGGTGGAGGGGGTGGTGGTGCAGGGGGCACAGGTCGGGGCACAGATGTTGAGACTGATGTAATCTGGACCTGAGGGGAAAGAAAAGCGTCAAGAGGCCAGGCTCTCTACCTCCTTCAGCCCAGTCTAAGGGCCAAGGAGATGCCTTTCCTCTCTGAACTCCTCACCTCATCATCTTCCTCTAGGGCTGGGGCTGGCAAGGGAGCCCCTCTCCTAGCCTCCTCCATGGGGACAGGGGCTCCAGGGGTCCCATCCTGCTCAGCCTCCCATTCCTGCAGCACCTCCTCCAGATTGAAGCGGCGCCGGTAGCTCACAAAGAAGGTCTTCACCTGGGTCAGAGTCTTGTTCCCAATCACCTCTGCAATAGCCCCAAAGTCTTTGCCATACCTACGGATGGCTGCAAGGGCCAAAAGAGGAGCAGAGTGTGAATACCCCTTAGAACCAGCTACTTTCTTGATCTTTACCCTCTACTCCCAGCTCCTTGGTGGATGAGGAGTCCTCTCTTCTTCCCATGGTCTAACCCACCTTGGACAGCCAAAAGCTGCTCATCTGTGGTCCAGCGGGAATTGAACTTGGTGTTGGCCTGAAAAGCAAGGAATATATATCTTTTAGGCTCAAAAACACGGGGGAAACCCTACTTCCTAAGTAGAACACTTTCTGCTCTGCCTCCAGAGAACCCTCCTTTGTACTCATGCTTGAAGAGTAGCCTTACCTCAGGGGGGCGGAGTGGATCGATGCCGCCCTCCAGGGCTTGGCGCAGGCTGCTGTTGGTCTGCTTCATGCTCTGCACCTGGGAGGGCCAGGAAATGGAGGCCCATCAGACTCAGGCAGACTGCCACACCCCTTGCAGGGTCCTATTTCTTCACAAACATGAGCCCCACTGCCCTGACAAAGCTCTCTGTCACCTAACATCTGGCTCATTTCCCCCCTCGCAACTACTCAGTAAAGGGAGATGCAAGGTTCTCTCTTTTCTGCAGATCAGTTGTTTGTTTGGTTTTTCCTTTGAAGGGGAGAGACACAGGGTCTCATTCTTGCTAAAGCTGGTCTCAAACTCCTGACCTCAGTTGATCCTCCTGCTTCAGCCTTCCAAAGTGCTGGGGAGACAGATTACAGGCATTAGACACTGTGCCCAGCCCAGGCCAGTTTTGTTTTTGAGACAGAATCTAAGCTGTCGCCCCGGGTAGAGTGCAGTGGCATTATAGCTCACAGCCACTTCTAACTAATGGGCTTAAGCGATTCTCCTGCCTCAGCCTCCCAAGTAGCTGGGACTACAGGCGCCCGCCACAACTTTTTTGGTTTTAGTTGTCATTGTTATTTGGCAAGCCCAGGCTGTATTCGAACCCGCCAGCTCCGGTGTATGTGACTGGTGCCTTAGCTGCTTGAGCTACAGGTGCTGAGTCCTAAACCAAGTTTTGTTTTTTTTTTTTTTTTTGAGACAGAGCCTCAAGCTGTCCCCCTGGGTAGAGTGCAGTGGCATTACAGCTCACAGCAACTTCCAACTCCTGGGCTCAAATGAGTCTCCTGCCTCTGCCTCCCAAGTAGCTGAGACCACAGGTGCCCGCCACAACGCCTGGTTTTTTTTTTTTTTTTGGTTGTAGCCATCATTGTCGTTTGGCAGGCCCGGGCTGGATTCTAACCTGCTAGCTTAGGTGTATGTGGCTGGCGCCTTAGCCACTTGAGCTACAGGCGCCAAGCCCAAACCAGCTTTTTAGGAAGGCCCAGAAAAGAATACATTACCCAGAGTCTTGAGGATGGGGCAGAGACAGGTTTGGCACCCTCTACCTTACTCCTCAGCTACCCCCAAAGTTTAGTTCCCAGGTGCCAACTGCCCCCTTTGCACGGCACCTTCGTTTTTCAGCCCCCACCTGGCGCTTGAGGGAGATGAGCTGGGAATCCAGACCTCGGAGTGTGAGGTTGGCAAGGTCTGGGCTTCCTGACACTGCAGTGAGGCCCTCAGGGCTCAGGTACATGCCCTTAGGTGGGCGACGCCGTGTTCGCAATGGGTGGTGGCGGTACTGAGACACCTGGACCTCCTTCTTCCCAGGGCCTGGGCGCGCATTCAGGGGCCGAGAAGGCAGAGGCTGCCAGGGAAAGAGGAAAGTGTAGGTGGCGCAGAGCTGGAGGAGAGGCAGATAGGCAAGCAGGTAGGGCCAGACCAGCTCTGAGAGCTCACCTCCCGCTTGGGGTCTCCAGCATCTGGCTCTCCCTCACTCACGGTTCCTCGTCCCTCTTCAAGCTCATCACTGCTGACACGGGGGCCAGGGAAAATGAGGTAGGGTCCAAGACTGCCTGCCCCCACCTTTTCTTTGAGACAGTCTCACTCTGTTGCCTGAGCTTCAGCCTAGCTCACAGCAACCTCAAACTCCTGGGCTAAAGCAATCATCTTACCTCAGCCTACCAAGTATCTGGGTCTACAGGTGCCTGCCACAAAGCCCAGCTCATTTTTCTATTTTTAGTAGAGATGGGATCTCACTCTTGCTCAGTCTGGTCTCAAACTCCTGAACTCAACCAATCCTCCCACCTTGGCCTCCCAGGGTGCTAGGATTATAGGTGTGGGCTACTGCGCCTGGCCCCCACCTGTCTTCTTTGTCCTTGCGGCCCCCCAGCCGCCGTGCCTGTCTGTCCATCACACTAGTTCGGCTGCGAGTCTTTTTCCAAGAGTAGTAATATTTCACCAGGCTGGGAATCAGTTTGTCTGGCAGCTGGAAGAGGCAACACCAGAGGTTGGGGCCCATCCAACACTCTAGGCCCCAAGCATATTCCTTAGGAGGGAGGAGCTGAGGAGCGCTGGGAGGTAGAAAGGCTTTACCATCTGCTGGATCCGCTGGAAGCACTTGCCATGGAAGCCAAAAGCCTGTTCAAACAGCACCTTGTCCTCCACCGTCCACTCATCAGGGAATGGGGTAAAGTTGGCCAGGTCAGCCAGTGACTTCTCCACATCATGTTTATGCCAAAGGAGCATGCCCAGCGCCTGGCCCAGGATGAGGGGCAACTCAGGCTCAGCTGTCCCCAGCACTGTCCTGTCCCTACTCCCAAATCCCTGCTGGGCCAAGGCTCACCTGCTCAATGTTGTAGCCATGCTTCTCTTTGGCCATTGCAATGTACTTGTCAACTGCAGGGGCAGGAGGGATAGAGCCTTGGAGGAGGGGGTGAAAGTTCCTAACCCAGATCTGTCCAAAGAGGGGTAACCCCCAAGGGCCAGGCCCCAGGACAGGATTGAATTGCCACATTTCAGACTCCAGCCCCCATTCGGGAAGAGCTGGCCTGAGGATGGGATAAACCTAAACCCTCACCTCCCACAGATGAATATAAACCAGAGTTCCCACTCACGTTTGGCATCTGACACACAGTGGTTGGGCGACCACACCAGCATCCCTTTCAGCTCCTTGTTGCTGTAGCGTGCAGGGCTCTCTGAAAGGCAGAGGGAAAATACTCAGATCACTCTGCTGGTACTAGCAAGCCAGGGCCAGGGACAGCAGAGGAGTGGGGCCTGGGAGGTGAGGCCCAGAAGGGAAGGAGGGGCAGAAACCCAGACAGGAAGGCAGAGCAGGAAAACTAACCATGCCACAGGGCCAACCTCCCCTGCCTGCCCTTCCAGTGGGAGCCAGCCAAGGGCTCCCCAGGTGGGGCTGAAGGCCAAGCCACGGGCCTCCCCCCTTGCAGCCTGTCCTGCCACTCACCAGGCTTGCACTCCGGAATTACGGCCTGGTAATTGGTTCCAACGCGGATCATGCTGTCTGTGGAGCCAGGGAAGGCAGTGAGGACTCCAGGGAGGGAGGGAGAGAAGGAGAAGATGCGGGGGAGGTGGCTGGCCTGAAGTTCTCCTTCCTGACCACCCAGGGCCCCCATCTTCCAGGAGGTTTGTTTTTCCCTGATCTTTCCCCTCAGCCCTCAGGTACACTCAGCTGCAGAGGAATTGGAAGAGACCCTGCCTAGTCACGGCCACTGGGGGTGGAGGGTAGCCACGGGGACAGTTTCAGAGCCCAGGCCAAGCAGAGTGCTTTGTTCTGACTAGGGGCTGGGGCATTGGAAGGCAGCCCCTAGACCTGGACCACAGCCCTGATGGGTACCCAAGGCTCCTCCCCACATGAACCTCACAGCTGGGTGTGGAGTGTGCCTCTCCAGCCTCTGCCCCAGTCCTCAGTCTTCTGCAAGGTGGCAAGGTATGAGGCATCCAATCTGTGTAAGGAGGGACGCCAGGATGCCCGGGGGACTGAGGGCAGGGCGGGGGTGGGCAGGACGGCATCTGCAGCAACTAGGGGCCCAGCCTCCGGACTCCCTGTGCCACCAACCCAGGGATTGGGGTAGAAGCAAGGCAGAGGCTCCAATCCGGGAAAGGCAGGAACCATCAGCATAACAGGCCCGTGGTCTGCAACACTTTCCCCTTCTCGCCCCAGGCCGCGTCCCCCTCCCCTGCCGGCCAGCGCGCCCTTAACCCTAGGCCGCCAGGCTCACCATGCGAGTGCTCCTCCTCGCTGCTGTCATCCTCCGAGTGGGGCTGTCCACCGTTGGGAACCGTCTTGGCTCGACTGCGGGACAGGATCCCGGAGCCCGCGCTCGGCTTCTCCATCACAGAGGGCATTACCCCGCCCAGCTGCCCCGGGGGGCCCGGGAGTCTTCCGAGACCCGCGGTGATTGCCGCGCTCGCCTCGAGTGCCGTGCCCGGCCCGACCTGGAGAGGTCGCCACTGAGGTTACGAGAGGCAGGAGGTCAGCGTGGCTAGGGTCCGGGGGAGCGGTAGCCAAGCAGGCAACCCCAGCGCTCTCCGCGACCCCCACGGGCGAGGGCGTTGGAAAAGTTTGTGCAGAAGTGGGGTACGCGGCGAATGAGCACAAGGTCCAGTGCGCCCACGGCGCGCTCGTTCTGTACGCCCCTCGGGGTTGGGGCTCTCCCGGAGAAGTCGAGGCGCCCCAGAACCCCACCGCCCGCCTGCCCACGCCGATCAGCGGGCGCGCGCAGGAGCGCAATTTGCGCTCCCCACGGACTCCGTTTCTCTCGGCTGCGCCAGGGATGCCCCAGTCCCCAAGTGGGGACCCTGTCCCAGCCAGACCACTGCCCGCGACAGCAGCCGACGCGGCTCCGGCGGCGGTGGCGGGACGGCGCGCACAGCGCGCGGCGCCGGGCAGAGTTGCTGGGAGGCGGGCGGAGCGCAGCCGCGGGCGCCGCCTCGCACCCTCCCTGGCGCGCTTGCTCTCCCCGCCGCTCTCAGGCTGCCGCTAGCTCGCCCGCTCTCCGCCGCCGCTCGCTCCTCGCTCACACAATGAAGCTGCTGGCAGGGAAGTAGTGCCGGCTGCGGCCTCAGCACCCCTCCCCCAGCCGATGCCTCCGCCAGCTGAACATCTGGCCCTGGGGTGGGAGGGAAGGCCGGGGGCGGGGCCTAGGGGCTAGGGCTAGACCTCCAGGGGGTGGGATCAGGACCCGGGTCGGGAGAGCGTCCCTCTGCAGGGCCCCCCTCGCGTCCCTGAGCTCCCAGATTTACCCGTGAGGGAACCCTTCTGCCCCGCCAGGAGTACCCGGGGGTCAGCCCCACCCACGTGCCCACCAGCCCCACACACTAGTGGGCTCGGGTTACCGCCGCCTGCCCCGGGGGCCATGAGGCTGCCCGGCTGCCCGCCCGGGTGGAGCCCAGCTTTTCCTTCCATTTCCCTTCCTGCCAAGGAACTCCCCACCCCCCCTTCCGCACGGGGACCCCCCCCCTTCATGCGCCCTTGGGGGCCAGAACGGATGGGAGGCCGGACAGGCGAGGAATGAATTCCTCCAAGAGCCCGGACCAGCAGCCTGGCTTCTGGTGGATCTATGTGACTCCAAGGGTCACCTCAATTCCCTTTAACTACTGCAGTCTGCACCCCAAAACAGTGGCAGCTAGAGCTGATGGATGGGGACTAGGGGAATAAGGAAAGTATGGACTGCAGGGGAGGGAGGAGCAGGGTCTCCTCCCCACTGGGTTCACTGTCACCCCAGCTGGAAGCAGCATCCCCTTCCCCCGCCCCCCCCCCAACAAGCACAAGCAGAGTGACAGACAGAGAAGCGGGTAGAGCCGCACAGACGGAGATGGGGGAGGGGGTGGGCAGAGACTTTCAAAGCCAGACCCAGCCACCCTGCCAGGCACACAAAGAGCCAGCACACACACCGGCGGCGGCTCCGAGCCTGCGAGCTGCACGGGTGCCCGTCTCTGCTTCCCCAGGCACGTGCTGCGGCGCACACAAGCCAAAGCCCCCGCCCGCCGCCCCTCCCACCCGGAGCCTCAGACTCCTGGACACACCTCCACCCGGGCACATCCCACTGTGCCCAGACCGAGCCGAGCCTGCACTTGCGCCCTCCTCTCACTTTCCTTGCCTGGCCACTCTGTAATCAGACTTCTAAATTTAGAAGCAACCCAGGACCGAGCCAGGGATCCCCGCCCCCACATTCTGCCTGCGGCGGAGCGACCAGGGTCCTGTGGTCGGGCCACGACCCGACTGGGGCTGGCAGTTACTGGGGACTCCTGCGGACGGCCGCGCAAAGCAAGGCATAACCCCACCCGGCTGCTGCGCTGTCGGTCCACACAGGGCCACCCAGCCAGTGGCCACGTTGCCCGCCACACCTAGGACCAGGGCTATGGGACCATTTTCCTCCTCCTAAATCATAAATTGGACAAAGGAGGAGAATGAATGGACCAAAGACTGGTCTGAAGATCTGCTGCAAGATGAAAAGTCTTCCCAGGCTGACCTCTTCTGGATGGCAGGGTGCCATCCCTGCCCCCAGCACCTCCACCCTCTAGGGAGGCTCTCATCTCTGCCCTCTCCTTCCTCTCAGGCAACCATTGCCGCACACCACCCTCTCCTACCGTGGTGGCTTCCATCTTGCCTGGCGCCTCCCCATTACTCAGGGCCTCAGTTGGGTCTCCGTGCCCTCCCCCCTTGCCTCTTTCTCATAACTAGGGGCCAGGGCCCAGCCTCCTAACCCTCAGCCTCGAGCTTCAGCATCGTGCTATTTTCTTGCCACCTCCCAGTCTCTCTAGGAAGGATCCCTAGCCACTGGCTTCCCTCTTGCCCCAGCACCACAGCATCCCCAATTAAAAACTTAATTTATTTCTCCCTAGAGCCAGGCACTCAGGGCTGAAAGAAGATTCTGCCCTGGAGGTGGGGACAGGGAAGGGAGGTTTATTCCTTGGGGAGAGGCATCCCTAGGCCTGGGTGTGGTAAGGGTTCTGCCTAGAAGGTGTGACTTGATGTGGGAGAGGTATCTTAGGAGTTTGGGGGTGAGGGTAGGGGCCACAGTGTGGTGAAAGGTGGTGCATTCCTAGTGAGCAACACCCTCTGCAAGGAGCAAGGCTACCGGGCTAGGAGGGGGAGGGACAAGGCCCCACCCCTCCCACCTGCTGCAGTCACCCCCTCCCCAGCTGGCCCCCTCTTTTGTGCGAAGCCACACAAAGGACAAGGGGCCCCGGCCAGCCTGGCCATCTGCTCCCAGCAGCCTGAAGGCTCTTAAAGAGACAGCACCCCCTCCCTGCCGCCCTGGGGCTGCTGTGCAGGGCTGTGCCATAGGACCTGGTTCAATGGTACCCCAAATCCCACCCACCTTTCCTTAGGTCCCCAATCCCCTAGGTCAGGAATCATCCTCCCCCAGGCCTGGGTTGCTGAGGTGCCACGTGGCAAGGAACACAGAGTGTGGGAGGAAGAGAGGAGACAGTCCAGGGACCAGCCCCTCCTTGCCTCCAGCCTGAGGCAGCTCACAGCGCACAGGCAGCCCCAGAACTGGGGTCCCTCACCTCCCTGAGGCCACCTCAGAGCTTGGTGAGAGCTGGTAAACTCCCAGGAATGCCCTCCCCACCATTTTCACGGAGGAGTGCCTACTCATCCTTCCACAGGGAGGGCAGCGCTTTCTCGGAGGGCTGCAGCCACCTTGCAGCAAATGTGATCAGGGCGCATTTATTTCCCGTATTTTTCCAGATGAGGAAACTGAGGCTTTGCTCAGCTCCTACAGAGGCCTCTGCCTGAAGCCCACCCACCTCCCTCCACAAAGCCAGATAAGGCTCTTCACCCCTGAAATCTCCAGGGAAGCCCTCTCTGGCCAGACAAAATCCCACATGATCCCTTCACAAGTTTGCATGACTTGTGTGGGTATTTTTCTTGCCTGTCTCCCTGCTAGGCTGTGAACCCCATAAGGGATTGTGTTCACTGCTGTGTTCTCAGGGCCTTGTATATAGTAGGCACTTAATATATGTTGAGTGAATAAATGTTAGGAGCCTAAAGAGCCTTTTACTCTAGATTCCTCCATGCTCTGCCTGCAGGGCATCTGGCCACTTCCCTCCTCAAGGTGAGGTGGAGGGGACTAAGTTTGAACAGGGATGCTGGGAAAGAAAAGGAGGGTGACCTTGGGTAAGCCACCCGCCTCCCCTCGCGTCTCCCCCCTCCCAAAGGCGGGGGCAGCTCCAGCCAATCCTAGCCCGCCAGCCCTGCCAGACAGACTGGGACTGTCCCAAGCTCTGGCCGCTGTGGTGTGGTGCCTGGGACCCTAGCCAGGTCCTCAGTGGCCATGGCCAAGGGGCTAAACTTGGAGGGAGGTATCCTGGGGTGGGTGTAGGGGTGTCCCTGGGGTGGGGGAGAGAGGGTGGCACCATCTGAGCTGAAGCTTGACTGAGCAACTGGGAGGTCTTTGGAGGAGGTGCTCCAGTGGACTATGAGCCTAGGAGAGGTGGGCTACAGAGTGGAAGAAGCCTGGGAGCTCCCTCTTGGGCCCACACCCTGTCTGACAGGATCTTGGTCCCTCCTCCCCACATGCTCATTGCCCACCACCCCACAGGCTGTACGGCCCTGGGTACCACCCTTCCCAACTCTAGGCCCTGTTGGTAATCCCCTGGCCTGGCCCACAGCGCCCCTCCACTAGCCACACCTCACAGGGTTATTTGAACGCTGAAAGAAGGGGACAGAGGTGGCAATCTGGTGTGCTGCCTCACTTAGAGGTCCTGTGAGGACAGCCAAGGAGGGCAAGGCATGCACGTCTGGGAGTGGCATAGGGGCAGAACAGCAGGACCAGGGTGAGGTCAGTAAGGAGACCCCGGGCTTCCTGACCCCCATATCACCAAGGAAATCTGACTCCCTGAACAGAGCAGGAGCTTGGAAGGAAGGGTCAATTAAGAGAAATGGGAATGTGAGGAGGTAGGAGGGCTTCCCAGACTCCAGGAGAGGGCAGCTTCCAGACCTGGGAGCTGCTGGGTTTCTCCTGAAGCTGGGAAGGTGCCTCCTCCTTGCCCTCACCTGGGCAACAGCTGCGCCCTCTGGCGGTGACAGCATGGACCAAGGGGGCCCCACCTCAGCCTAGGCACAAATGGGGAGGCTTAGCCTGGCGTCCTGAGGAGCCCATGCTCCTGAAGTAACTGGATAACAGTCCCCCTCAGGCCATTGGAGTCACTGAGCTTTAAATCCATCCCCCTACCCTGTGGGTACTCTGCAGCCACCTGCTCCCTCCCAGAGCAGTCTGGGGAGCAGAGTCCCCTAGAGAAATGGGAACTCAGACTGGACAAGTCCTGGCTCTGCTTCTTGCTTACGGTGTGGTCTTAAGTGAGACTCAGTCCCTTTGTCTCTAAAAGGGAATGACAGTCATGACATCATTTGGAGGATCTGAGGACATCTTGGGTGGAATGTGGTAAGAATATCAATCAATGTTGGTTTCCTTCAGAAGCAGGTGTACCCTCTTAAGCACCCCCAAGAAGGCCCCCTTAGCCCATGGTTCACTGCTCTCTGAGGCAGCCCATTCCAATGGACCAGCTCAAGGTCATCCCACCTTGAGCTCCATCTGACCTGTGGAGCAAGAAGCTTCTTGTGACATCGGATTAGGGTGACCAGACTTCCCGCTTTTGGCGAGACAGTCCTACTTTTTAACAATTTGTCCCATGGCGTTTTAAAAAAGTCCCGATTTTTGGAAAGAATGAACGAACGGGTGGGAGAACAGGAAGGGAATATATGGTTTTCAGCTGCCATGTGGCTATTTCACCAGAATATGGGTTTTATATTATTTTTGTTAATTTTATAATGTTAAATTGTAATAATAACAAACAATTGTTGAGAAGTGATTATTGAGAACTGCTTATCAAAGTTTGCATTGTTGTCAGGCCCTGTCCTGCCCTGCCCCCTGCCCCGCCCCTGGCCATGTTGTCCCACTTAACAAATGTTAAAATCTGGTCACCCTACATCAGATACTTGACATCCTCCTTGCTATAAATTGAATGTGTCCCCCAACGTTCTTGCACTAGAAATTTAATCCCTGGCTCGGCGCCTGTGGCTCAAGTGGCTAAAGTGCCAGC